GCTACTTTTCCTACTTTTCCAGCAAGCTTGGGGTCTCTCTCCTTTAGGTTTTAGTTCAGAAGGCACTTTGAACAATACAGATTTCTCTTACCTTAGGTAGCCGACTGCTGGCCCCACATCCCAAATATGGAATTTTCTCCCCCTTCCCCTGAATACTTCTCAGTTGACACAATTTCTGCATTCATCTACTGTCTTCCTTTCCCCAAATCAAGGTATAAGCTCTATCTGGACAGGGCTGTTGCCTGTCTAACTACTCTGTCCCTGGTGCCTAGAACAATGCCTGACACATAGTAGATGTTTTCTAGATATATGTATTTGTTTTTTTTTTTTTCTTTCCTGTATTTAGGACAGGGCCTACAGGGTCTACAGGGTCTCACTATAAAGATCAGACTTGTAGTTATTCTCCTGTTTTCAGCCTTCCAAGAGCTGGGATTACATGCATGTGCCCCCAGCCCAGTCTCAATCACTGTCTCAGCATGCCCTGGGGGCGGGGCCAGCACAGCACACTGGTGATCAAACCCGGGCCGCTAGGATCTGCCTAAGCAGGCGCTTTAGTCTGCTGAGTTATCAGGCCGGCCCTCTCTAGACATATTCTTAAATCAGTAAAATGAACCTAAAAGTTAAATTAAAGGTAAAATTGTTTAAAGTTAAATATAAAATAACTTTAAAAATTTACTTTGAAATAAATTTTGGTATCTCACAAATTTGCCGTTGATTAAATGATATTAATCACTGGTACTGACCTGAAGTCTCTATGTAGTAATGAGTAATTGCCTTCCAGTGATAAACAAAATCTTCTTGTAAAGGAAGAGAAGGTGCAAGCTACAGGAACACACACAAAAAGAGCAAACAATTAATTACATGACAAAGTTTTCCATAAAGTATAACTCTGTATTTGTCCATTACGCTGCAAAAGCAGTATAAAAATTTGGGTGGAACTTTAGCTTGTTTCTGTGTGTCAGATGTCAAAGAGAAACAACTGAAGTCAAAATGATTTATTATGAAAGGAGAAATATACATTTATCATCATTATTATTAAACTGCAGGATTAGGCTTTTTCCCTTTCTCTGATACTGTGTGCCCTCAACAGTAATTATATTAAACCAAAAAACAGCAGTACCCTATTAGTGAAGCATCAGTAAAATGAAATTACTGATAACCAGAGATCTTTGTACCTAGGACTTTGAAAGACAAAATGGCAAAGGTTAACATCCACGCAATTAGTTACACATCACCACTACTGAAACACACGGCAAAATCATCATCATAATCAGATTAATGTGTTCCCTACTTCCAGTGACACATCTATGTAAGCCTGGATTAGGCAGTGCATATTTTTAGCAAAACAACTATATGAACAGGATACTACCAATCTAAATCCCACAAAATCCAGCATGCTTTCCAGCGTTAGGAGGTTCATGTACCAAAATTATATCCCTTCAGAAACTTCAATACAAACTGCTAAGTATTCTAAATGTGTCAAAGAATAGAAAAACTCTTCAACATCTTCTTAAAAAGAGCAAGAGTAACAGTGATATATCTATGTATGTAAGCAGGATGCTTTTGACAACTGTACTATGCATTTTTGCTGATTTATGAAAAGGAGCAGTTAATGCTTTATTTTGTCTCGTCTCCTTTTCTTCAATTGTTTGCACTTTTTTCTTCTTAATTTCTCATACATTTATTTCTTTTTTATTTCTTCTTCCAATGTTACACACAAGTGTCTGGTAATACGAACAACTGGTTGGAAGGCAACACTATGCATTACAACAAACACAAATTCACGTTACTTTGTTAAGTGAAAATCTGCATCATTTGTAATTTTTTGTTTTAATTCTAATTTGTACTCTTCAAAAAAGAAATAATAAAAAACAGTGCCTCTATTCTGAGGCCACCAACCCATTCTGGTCAGAAAGCAGAGCTGACCCCCGCATAGTGCCGAGCCAACAGGCTGCTATTCTGAGAACCTATGACAGGGCAGAGGAATCTTCCGTCTTCATCTGCATCGCCTGCCAATGGCCACAGTGGTCAGGTTACTTCTGGACCTCGACCTGCTCCAGTCCGACTTCTCTGCCAAGTTGCCAGCCCTGTCAGAACAACTTCAAACTAACGCTTAAAGGAAAACACCGGTCACACAGATCTTAAGTGTTTCAATTCAAAGGATGAAATGTACATACAAAAAACGCTAATGATTTTTCAACAATTGATCAACACCATAAAGCTAACTCTTTATAACATTTGCCCATCTGCACCACTTTGAATAGACTGGACTAAGAAAATATAAATTATCTACCTCATTTTAAAATAGAATGTTCTGCAATCTTTTAAAAAGACTTTAAGGAGTTAAAACATTTGGGATTACTGTACTTCAAGGAGAACATGGAGAGAGAAAGACTTTTTTTTTTTTTGTATTTTAGTTCAGGTCTATAAGGACTACAGGGTCTCACTACGTAGATCGGACTCAAAGTGACCCACCTGTGGTCTGCCTCCCAAGAGCTGGGATTACAGGTGTGTGCTACCAGGCCCCAGTCTCAATTGCAATTTCAGTGCAACCCAGGGGTAGGGCCAGCACAGCACACCACGAATCAAACTCTAGCCCCCGAGCTCCGCTGAAGCAGGCACTTTAATCTACTTCTTTTTGGCGGAACTGGGGATTGAACTCAAACCCCTAAGCTTGCCAGAGAAGCGCTTATTCCACTGACACATCTCCCCAGCCCCTTTAATCTACTGAGCTATATGGTCTGCCTTGGAGAGAGATTTAGAAGAAACAAAAATATAGGAAGAAAATCAAGAATGAAAGTACGTATTAACTTGGGAAAACAGAATAATCATTCTGAAACTTTTAGTTAAAAAATCTAGCGAGTTGTTTTCAAAATACAATTTCCCTAACTTTTTTGGTTCTAGCTTTTATGGATTGTCATTATATTGTTAAATATACAAATACGTGGGACAAACACAATGGAATTTCCTCTTTTAAGACGTGACTCATCTTTTTAAGTGTAAATGCAGTGATTTTTAAATTTTCCCAGGAGAGCCATCCTTTTTCCTGGTTATCTGTGCAGTGGGATTTCACTGTACTTTTTGGGTCCGTCACTCAACAAAGGTGCTGAGACCTTTGTCACAGGTCACAGCCAGAGCCAAAGCGGGACCTTCCTCCCAGGGTAGACCCCAGACAGCTCTAAATAGCTAATGTCCTATTGGGAGCCACATAATAAACTTACCCTTTCGACCAATTCTAACACATAAAGTACCTGTTTTATCGCTGCATACATACACTTATGCTCTGCTTTTAACATTTTTTTTAAAAAAGAAACAGATGTGCAAATCAGAACCAAGAGCACCCATTTCACTTTTTACCACACAGAGATTAAATTCCTTAAAACCTATGCAATCTCTATCTCTATCAAAGACAGACACTTAACTGAGACCAGGTTCTCCTGGCGGCCTAGCGCTCCTACCTCGCAGCACTGTCCACCTCTGGCCTGTTTCTGAACGCTCACCCCACCTGTGTCATTGGCCACTATCCATCCCGTCCCCTAGACTGTTTCTTCAGCATTCAACCTATTTCCAATTCAGACACGCACAAAACATCCAGTAACACTAAGGGAAGAGATGCGCAGGGTGGTAATGAGTCATCACGTGACGGCTGGGCCACAAAACTTCCGCATGCTGACTTCAGGGGCTTAAATTCTCACCATAAACGCCTACACTGCTCAGACTCCTATCAAGATCCCAAAACTGACATGCCCAGGAAGCAAAGCTTTTAACTAGCAACACGACTTTCTTCAAAATATCCAAAATGCAAAACACCTAGGAGGACAATTCAGATTAAAGACCAGTGTGTCAACAGCCTCCACTGCTTTAATTGCCTCAGGAAGCAAGCACAACGACTGCATTTTTTGTTATTTAAATACCTCTTCTTCCAGCCCCTTTCCTCCTTTTCCCCCCTTGTACTAGGGATTAAACACAGGGTCGTCCCAATGAGCTACGTCCCCAGCCCTTTACAATCTGTCTTTATTGAGATAGTGTCTGGCTAAATTGCTAACCTGCCTAGGCTGGGCTAGAATTTGGAATCCTGCTTCCGCCTCCCAGCAGGGTGGGATTGCAGGAACGTGCCACCACACTCACTCAGCTCCTGGTCAATTCTGTAAACTCCCTTTCCTCTTCTCCACCTCTCCATAACCTAGCTGGCCTCAGCTCCTACAGCTGCTTGTTCCCTTCTTCCTCCATACTGCACCGACCTGGCAACTCAGCAACAGGAATTTCCATTTGCTGAACACTTACTGGACGCCAGCATGGACCAAACACATCCTGCGCTGTTTACGATGACCTAGGAAATGGGTCTAATTAGTACAGGTAGCAAAGATGGGGCTGGGAGGCAACTCCCCCCACATTCACCAGAATTTGGCTAACAAACCAGGGCCAATTCTCTTTCCACTGTTCTAAGAACAATAGAAAATAAAAATAACAAAGACCCAAGAACTCTAAAACTCCAGGTCCTAGCACAGGTCTTTTAGATCTTACAGCCTAACCTTTAGCAACCTTTTTCTCCACTTGAACAGTCTTAAAGGTCCATACGTGTGGATCACACAGATGGTCTCAAATAGGTAATTTAATCAGTTAATTCTGGGACAGGCACGCATGATGTGGTGCCCCCAGGATGACGCAGCACCCTGTCAATCATTCTGAGACCCCAGGAAGAGGAGTCGATAAATGCAAATGCTTTTTCTTTTGCCACTGGACAGACACTTGCACTTATCTGTGTGCCACGTACCAGAACTTGGAATCTATCTCTCAGTTCCATCATGCAGTACCAGAATTACTTCCATTTTATAACAGGAAAATGAGATTGCAGAAAGATTTGGTAACAGTCCAAGTGTGGACGAGACAGAGGCTAGATCGGAGCTGTGTTCTGTCTGTCTAGAGGCCAGGCCACATTCTTGTGCATTTCCTACTTTATGATTCGACTTAATCTTTGTTTTGTTTCCCAAAGCAAAGCGCTGTGATCAAGGACACGGATATACTGTACCTTGTTTCCTTGGCTGTGTGCTAGGCTTTCATTGCAGCTCACAAAACATTTGCTGAATGAGAAAAGGGCTGGAGGTAGAGATCACTTGTTGAAAGCAACACATTTAAGGGAACTCTCTGAAGTGGTGGCAAATGACTACAATCCCAGCAGCAGTGGGAGGCTGAGGCTGGAGGATTCCAAGTTGCAACACAGCTCGGTCAAGTTGATGAGTTAGAGAGACCATGTCTCAAGGTACAAAATAAAAACAGGGCCCTAGGGAGGTAGCTCTGTGGGAAGGCCTTGGGTTCAATGGCAGCTGGGAGAGAGACGACCAAAACATTATATATGTCTGAGGTTAATTCCGCAGACAGAGCAGAAGAACCGCTGGTCCCCGCAATCATCATTAACTAACTCTGTTATTTGAAGACGGAACATTGCATTTGAAATCCGAGGGATGAATGGCTAAAAATTGTCTTTTACCCTCAGCAGACTAGATTGGCCTCAAGGGTTGCACTGGTCCAAGGTAAGAAGAAACGGCCCCCGGCCCGTCCCCTGGCCCTGGACCAACACTAGACTGTGCTCAATGGACAGTGGTGCTTATCCTTTTGGAAAAGTTGTGCTAAAATAATTCAATCCAATCTCAGAAGTTTTCCTTTTCTGGTGGTAATAGGGATTGAACCCATAATCTCTGTGCTGGGCCACCCCAAACCCTTTAAATTTTTTTTTCTTTTGACACAGGGTCTTAATAAGTCACTAAGTTGCCCAGGCTGGTCTGGAACCTGTGATTCTACTGCCTAAGCCTCCCTTCTAGAAGTTGGATGAGAGAGGCATGCCTTCAGACTGGAGAAAAGCAGCAACTGCAACTGTGTGACAGAACACATTCTTTGGTAAGACTCTCAGCAGCCAATCATTTCTGAACTTAGGGACAACTGTCCTTTCTGAAACGGGAGGTTACAATTACATTATAGTTCTTATAAATGATCAAGGTATGGATTTCTCCTATACTCCTCATGTAATCTGACAGTTGAAGAACACATTTTCAAGTACGAACCTTTGAAAATATCTTAGTTATATTTTCCTCTGCGTAAGAAGTTACCAGGAAGTGAATAGAAATCATTACACAATACAGACAACTCATCACCTAACCTCATTTAAAAGAAGATGAATGAGGTCAACCTTAAAACACCATGTGAATCCTGACCCAAGCGAACACTGAAACCTACACAGTGGTCATGGCAAGCGGTTGGAAAGCCCGACAGTGACAACTGAACAAAGGACAAGTCACCCTACGGGCACCAGGCCATCGCCCACCTAACCCAGGAGCCACAGCACTTGGAATACTGCACCAGAAATGAAAAGGAGCACAGAGAAAAGCTAAGGAATAGAAGAATAATAAGATTAGTTGACAGAAGAAAATATCAAGTAAAAAAGTATGGTACTTGGGTTCTGAGAACCACTCTTTAAATACCACAGAATGGCTGGTTTATCATCCAATGTACATTCACTCCCAGGAGAGAATGTTAAAAGGGAAAAAGGACATCAAAAACGTTTTTAGGAGATTTATCTTTTGCGGTGAACTGGGTGGGAAACAACAGCTGAAAAAATACTGGGGAGCAAATAAAAACATCACATGTCCAGTCACCGCATGACTTCTAGGACCAGGTGAAGACACCCCAGCTGTGCTTTTTCTCAGGTGCCTTCGCACAGGAGACAGCCTGGGCATTACGGAGGCCAAGAATCTACCTGGATAATGTGGTAGGTGCTAATAATACACACAGCGATTACGAGGACAGAAAACACAGGCCTCAGGACAAAAAGGAGGTGGAACAGGGGAAGTGGCAAAACCACCTTTCTAAGCGCCCATCTCTGTAAACACCAGCCTGATGGGTAAAGGCTATAATGTAATAAAATGTTATCTCAACTATCTCAATATATGTACTGTTAGAAAGTTGTGATTCTCCACATTTTAAATACAAATATAAAGAAGACCATTCTTGTCAATCTTGATTAAATTCTTTTACATAATGAAAAAGACTGTTGCTAAGAAAGTCAAACCAAAAGTTGCGCCAAGAGTCATCTCCTCCAGGGTGACAACTCTTCTTCATTTATGACGCCCCTTCTTGACGTTTCCAAAGGGCTTGAGCTAGAGCTAAACTTTGCCTTTAACATTTCCCACGTATCCCTTAAACAACAAGCGCACTAACCTTAAGAAAATCATTTGGCTGTGGATTTTAAAGTCCCCTATCACATCACCTAAACGTCAAAGGTCAATTACTATTTTTAAAATAAGCAAAGTAATGTTTCTTTGCAGAATGTATTTTCCCATTTGGGCAATTCTCCCAGAATAAGGTCAACAACTGAAGTGACGACAATCCCTCTTATCACTCACTACAAGGCATTCTCTTCGGTCTCTTTTATTAAGATATCTGAATACTGTCTCTCTCTGCCAGCGTCTAACCCCCCAGGGAACCCACAATTGTAGAATCCCAGTGTGTCCGGGAAGAGCTTTAAGATAAAAAAAAAAAAAAAGAGGCCGATGGTCCGGGCGTGGAAGCTGCTGGAGGCAACCTGGATCCCACCTGGCGAACTCCTGCCTTCTGCAGCTCGCTCCATCAGGTCCGGCCGCTGTGGCCGCCAGGCCCGAGGAAGCAGCAGCCAGCACGGTTACGAAACGGGTCGGCGGCGGCGCCCCGGCCCGACTTCCCCGCCGCTGCCTGCCCGCCCGCGGCTCCGCAGCCCCCGCAGCCCCCG